GGAAGGGGTTTATGAGAACCTGTAAGGGAGGATCGTAACTGGAAAATAAGGGAATATTTTTGAGTCCGACAAACTCGAACCTCATGATGTTTTGAAGCCAGAGATTGAAGGAAAGGGAGAGGGAGCAAAAACAACCCAACTAAACAAGAGAACCTATGTATTATGGATCAGATTAACTCCCATCATGACATCACATACACTGCCTTGCAAAAATCCTTATAAAACCAGATCATTTGGACATCTTTTGACCTTACAGCTACAACCCTTTATGTATTTTGAGATTTAATACGATAGACGAATATGTAGTATCTTAGTATTTTAAGAACATTTCTGTCGTCTGATGTCCTTAAAGCCATAGAAGCGACACAGCAAACATAAAGAGTGTAAAAGTTGTATAGAAGTTTGGGAAAATGCATATAAAACACATATTCAACCAATTTTTATTCAACATTAAAGAGCCATAAAAAGAATAACTGGAAAACTTTATAGAGAGGCAACAAAACCACCATTTCTTCAGTTAAGATAATTGATTTTTAATTAATTAGTAGACTATGGTATTTTATGAAGTTCAAAGAGCATAAAAGAACTTTACCAATAAACATAAAAAAAGATTTAGAAGAAGAAAAAGCAGTTCTACATATTCACCCCAAACGCATCGCCTCTACCTTGAAACACAGTGGTGGCAGTGTCATACTGTGGGGGGGCTTACCTTCAGCAGGAACAGTGAAGCTGGTCAAATTTGAGTTGAAGATGTAGATTAAGTGAAATACAATTTTTATTGTATTCATCTGCTAAAAAAAAGGATATTTGTTCCTGATTATTTAAAATGAGGTTTTATATGGTCCGTTTCCGACAGCACAGCTCTGCCACAATGTGTGATGTGCAAAGAGATGTTAGCAAATGACAGTATGCGGCCATCCAAACTGCGCCATCATATGGAAATAGAGCACATGAATTTAGCCAACAAGCCAATAGATTTTTTTTCACAGTAATGTGTTCGTTTGACACTAACGTCATGGCAACTGAGGCATGTTAAGCCAGGCTTACACTGTACGATTTTTTGCCCTTTTCAGGGTGATTTTCTAGTTGGACGAGAATTTTCCAATCAGGCCGTCTTTCAGCCTGATCATGCGTTGTAGATCGTGTAGTGTACAGGGAGTAACGAGTGGCGTTTAGCCTCCCACGACCACCTGCCGACCAGGAATCGTGAGGTTGGGAGAAAATCAAAGTGAGTTAAGTGAGCCTCATATTCCTCTTCTTCTCGTTTGGCTTCCGGATAGACGAGTCAGAGTAGCTCAATGTCACTGCGGAGCTGAGTCCGTCGTGGTTTTTAGACATACAAGGTAGATCCTGCATGGACTGAACATGCATCTGCATCTGTACGACGAGGGCTTCGTCGTAGGGTAGGAAACCCTGGAGTTTCGTCGTACAGTGTGAGCTGTAGCTGCGTGCAACGATTGAAAAAAATGGCACAGTGTACGCCCGGCTTTATATAGCTGCTCTTCACTTAGCAAAGGCAGGCAAGCCCCATACTGATGGAGAAAAAAATCTGCTCCCGGCAGCTAAACATATGTGCTAAACTTGACACAACCCCAACGTCTGACAAAACCATCCAGCGATGAATATCCCAAAATATTATGATGTCAAAGAGCAGGTGGTGAACAGAGTTCGCAAAAGCCCCATCCAAGCCATTCCACTGGATGAGTCCACTGACGTTGCACCCTGCATTCAATTGATGGTGTACCTCAGAGTAATCAGGGTTTGGTGGGGGGGGGTTGGTCATCTTTACCTATTCCAAACGGAAGCTCACATTCAATGAATTTGAACCCCCCTGTCCTAGATGGAGGATGACCTTCCAACAGGAAAACAAAGACTTCACCAATGAAATGTGTTTAGGTTTGTTGGTGTAACATTAGCTTTGCAAAGGGCTGTACTCTGTACCTCCTATAAAAACTCCTGCTGTTTCTGTGTCCATTTATAGACTTAAAAAAAAGCAAATATTAATATTGGATTAGTTCTCTCAGACTTCCAGTCTGCTGTCTGTAGTAATGTCTGTGGACGCGCAGACAGGCACACATGTGGTCATATTCCTGTCGCTTCAGTGGAGATAAATTGCCTCTGTAATCATAGGTAGTGCTTGTTTGATTTCATATTTTTAAAAGGACTTATTTTGTCAGATTTAGGGCTAGTCGTTATTTTCTCTCACTGCAATCTGATGTATTTATGAGTCGCGCAAACATGAGGCATGAAGATTTAAATCATTAGGTTGAAGAAAAGAGAAGGATCATCTAATGCCCAGAGAGAGGGTTCTAAGTGTTATGGGTCATCAGGGTCTTTTCTAAGTGCTGCTCGGAAATGTGATGTTGTCTTCCAGGCAGTCATGTGACTAGTGGCTACGGTCATGTGACTTCAAGAGGGGATCATGTGATCGCAGGGGGCGGAAACAGCCGAAGAAGAAGAGGAGAATTGGAGTAGAGCTTAGTGAGGCTGCTGGTGGATGGTTTGTGCTAATGGGCAATCATCAGCAGCAGAGGGATGATGAAGGGATAAGCTTTTTCAGGCTGTCTCCTCCACCAACATGCATTATTTCTGAAAGCTCCAGTGTGATTGAAAATCCCCTTAATGTGCTGGAGAGCGAATAAGTCACATGATGGAGCTCTGGGTTGTACAGTATGACCTCATCACCCCAGATATTCTTCTAATCTTGGAAGCTGCTCACAAAACGTTTCTGAAGATGCTGTTTCTCTGTGTTGGTTGAGGGGCTTTGTGTTGATTTCCAAAGCTTGGATTATGCACTGTCCTGCAGAAGTATTCAAAAACCTTCAAATTTATTTTGCATTCCAAAGAAAGACTTAAGTGGATTTTATTGAAATTTTGAACAAGACCTATGTAAATTAGAGCGTGGTTTTGAAGTTAAAGCAATTCTAAGTTTTTTCCAAATCAAACTGTGTAGATTTCATCTTAAATCTGGGGGAAAAAAATACATCTTGAAATGAATTCAGTTGGGCATTTTACCTTCAACTTTGATAGTCCATAAAATAGATTGTTTTTGCTCATCTAGTTACAGCTGAATGATTTTGACAAAACTCAATTTTGAACCAATATTATGATTGCGATTTTATTGCGATTTGCCTTTGCAATAAGCGCAAGCATTTTGCTGTTTTACTAACCATTTTTCATTAACTTTACTGTAACATTTGCATGAAAAAGTTCATACTTCTATTATAACGCATAGATCTGGGTGCTTGCTTTAACTCTGTTCCTTTCTATGTGAAAGCATACTCACTTTAATCACATTACCGCCACCTAAAGGGCTGGAGGGAAAACATTTAGTGTCTTACTCTTTTTAAATATATCGTGACTAAAATTAAATGCCTCTACGATTTGTAAATTGCATTTTTCGAAATTACTTTCCCACTCAGACAGTCTTGTGGCTCTTCCTGTCTTCATCTGTTGGCTCACTACATTTCATCTTCTGAAAGGGTCACAGACATTCATTGGCATAAAACACTCTGGATGTTTGTTCCACGTCAGTTTAATCATTGGTTTTCTTTATTTTCAAACCACTAAATCTGGTGCATCCTTCGTTCGACAGCTGTAGGAAGTGCGTGTTAAGGATTCAGCTTAACAAACACAAATCCCCTCAGAATTAAGTATCTGTCGCCATTTCTCCTGTTATGCAGCCAAGATTATGTTTAATTCTGGTTCAGTGTGATGAATGCGTCATTTAACAGTTTGGGACTAAGACTCAATTTAAATTTAAAAAAAGAGAAAAAACACGAGTTATTCTCACAGCATATTTTATGAATTATTTAGTTTATTTCCTTCTGAGTGACTGTTTTTATGTGTAGTTGTCCCTCTAAGCTTCCTACAAGCAATGACCTGCCCACACATCCCTGTCCATCTACTTAGCTTTAATTGGTAGAGAGGGAATGCACATAAATGTGTGTGTTTCAGATGGAGGAATGTAGACCGTAACTTTCTTTACTTGGCTTGTTTTTGGTCAAGATCCCGCTGCTTTGCGATGACATGTAGAGACCAAACACAGAGCTGTGGTTCAGATGTCATAGATCCTACTTTCCTCTTCCCCCAGGATCTATAATAGTAATTTATCTGCATTTCTGCTGGAAACTAGAATGTGTAGTGCTAAAAAAGGCCAATCTGTATATCAAGGGAATATTTCTACTGATCCATGTGTAACTTTTGAATGAAGAAAGCTTATAAACAAGTTTAATCCTGCCTCCTACGTGCATTCCAGGCAGGCTTTTAACCACATCGCAGCACTAAAACAACACTAGTTTAGGTGTCATACCCGTTAACAGCGATGCAATTAAAAGTTGTCATTGGGGATTATTGGATTAATCTTAATTTACAAATTGACAGATTGAAATAGCAGCTTATAAATACTGAGAACCCATCCTTTAAGTAGGACAATAGAGAATTACTACCATTACTATATCTCTGTATTGTATGTGATGTAACAACTATACAGCTGATTTTTGTTAGTATTGCATGTTGCTATTGTTTAGTTTATGTAAAGTTTCTTTATTTTTAGTATAGATGTTTATATTATTCTTCAGTATAAAAGTTCACTTCCTCATTATCATTTTGATGAACTTATATCTAAAAAAAATTGCACAAGGATCTACTTTAACTTGAGAAAGCAGTTTGTTATAAACAGTCGAGTCAACATGTTGCAGCCTGAAGGACGCAGTGTGGGCGGAGCCTTCAGACGAAGCTAAAATGGTACAATATGAACTGAAAACCATTATTTTTTTATGTGTTTATGTATTTTTGAAAAAAAAAAAAATCCTATTATTCCTTCAGTTTAACCTTCATCTCTTCCACTTCTCTCTAAAATCTTTTCTTCCACTGAATATAACTCCCTGTTTTAATAGTTGATATAAAAAGCTGCCTTTACCAATCGGATTTCCACATTGCTGTATTTATCTTTGTTTTGCCTCCTCCTCACCAATTGTCCTTCTGTGTCCTGTGTGCAGGACCGTAAGCTGTCCAAGTCGGAGCGCCAGCGTTTCAAAGAGGAAGCCGGGATGTTGAAGGGTCTCCAGCATCCTAACATTGTCCGCTTCTATGACTCCTGGGAGGGTTTGTGCAAAGGAAAGAAATGTATTGTTCTCGTCACCGAGCTCATGACATCTGGCACGCTAAAAACGTGAGTACAGGAGGCAAAAAACAAGTAAAAAAAAATAAAAAAGACCACAAGGGAATGTAAAACATAAAGGAAATACAGTAATATTGCATAAAACAACAGTTTTACAATAATCTCAAACTCTGCTAGATTTAAAATCACCTCGAGAATTTAGTTTGGATCCAGCTGTTCTGTCTTAGCCGTAATTATTTGAATGTGCATTCTGCCCAACGTCAGACTCAAAACCTCTTAGAAACACCTTTAGCTGCAGTTTCTAAGTATAAGTAGGGGTGGAAGGTTTCTACCAGCATTACACAACTAGAGGCTGGCAGCTTTACCCAGAGCTCAGGGGATTCCTTGCTGGATTTAGGTCTGGACGTTGTCTAGAACAGGGGTCTGCAACCTTTCATATCCAAACAGCCGCTGCAAAATATTACATGACCTTTTAATATAAAAAAAATATATTATTTCTGTTAAATATCTGCCAAAGGAAATGTGTTGCCATCTCAAAAAACGAACAGCTGATTTGCTTTTTTAGCTTAAAACAATTAAAAAGTAAACGATTCCTAAATATGAAGCTTTGATTTTCTTCTATAAGGTATGATAATAATAAAACATAATTTCCAAGCTAATTAAAAGAAGAATAGCACTACAAAAAATTTTTCTGATGCTTTTATGCTGTCATTCTGTTGTGAAAATTCAATTTAAATATTCTTTTTCAAAACTAATAAAGGTTCTAAGACTGGTATTTATTATAATAGTATATTATTTAGGTCTTTATATCTTTTTTTGACCACTATTACATGTGGCTTCGGAGCCGCAGGTTGCAGACCTGTAGACTTAAAGCACATGAGTATGCTTAAATCGAAACCTATTAGTGACCCTCAACCCAGACTTAAGTCTAATATTGTTTATGATGATGCAAAGTGTGATTTTTTTATATACATGTTCTATAAAGACCAGATTTAGACTGATTAATAGTTGTCCAATTATTCAGTTTTTTTCCTGCTCATGAAAAGAGCAGAGCTTAGGAGAAAATGTCATTGGTTGCAATTACCTTAAAGGCACTTGAGTTTATGCTGAGGGATTAAATCCCAGGTTGTATCTGAATGTTATTTTTAAAAGGCTCAAATCTAAAATAGAAAAAAGCTGAAAAGGGGAATAATGAAGAGACTTTATGGTGTACATGTTGGGATGTTTGCACCTCTGTCAGACCCCCTCCTCCAACCCCAAAGTAAGGAAGAGACATGTAATTCCTGAATGCCACTCTCTGCCGATGAGTAGAGCTGCGCATCTGTGAACGTCACTGTTACAGAAAAGGCAATAAGCCTGCGCCACATGGTGCATCATGGGACACCACCAGCCCACCTGCCAGCTGCTGCTTCATCTGCAGATTCCTTTCATTCCTGGCATTGTTCCTCTGCACCGGGGGTAGAAGAGGACCGATATGAGATCGGACTGTAACACTTAGAGGGAGACAGAAGGATCTTAGAGGGATATTGCTTCTAGCGTAACAAAGCACTGACTCACCTGTAACACAAGAGGGAGAAATATTAGCCTCAATTCCTTCAGGAGAGTGGCGCCCTCCTCTGGAAAGCGTCACAATTCCTTTCCATGTTAGTTGGAATAGTTTAAATACTGATTGAAAAACTGATTTTGCTAAATTGAACAACATGGCAGCTGATATTGCATTTCCTGCTGAGTGAAAGCAAGCAGTGCAGTGTCCTCTAATGAGACCAGAATGTGTTGCAAAAAAAAAAAAAGAAAAACTGGTGCAGCTTTTCTTAAAATCTTACTGATAAACTTATTACCAGGAATAGAACAGATTTTCTGATGCAAATGTAGATGTTTTAAGGTAGTTTTTGTGGGAACCTGGGTGCTGCTTCGTTTATGGACAGGATAAAGGCCGCGCAGGGTTTCGGCTTCAGTCCAGATGAGTCCTTGGAAAGGAGAGGTGCTGTGCTGAGGCAGTGGAAAAAGAAAGAGAGATGACAGGGGGGGGCAAGGGGGAGGGAGAAAGATAGTAAAGATGGAAATGCTGACCAGCACTGCTGCAGTGCATTAAAGGAACATTAGAAAAGCATGAAGATGCTTTTGAGCTGCTTTAGTTCTGGTGTTAAATAAACATTATTTCTGTATCTTATAGGTGACATTCATATCTGTGTACTTGGGTTTGTGTGCTAAAATAAGAGCGAGGTTGTGCAACTTTGTGTGGGAGAAACGCTGTGCAGTGTCACTTTGGAGCTGCTGCATGCCACAGGGTTTAGCTCGTCTGTCAGCACCGCTTTGACTCCAGAACAGGGGGGAAATAAAGACCAGGAGATGGGCTGAGGAGGAGGAGGAGGTGAAAAGATGGGAGACAGAGGAAGAAACAAGCGAGAGAGAGGTGTGTGAGAAGTGGAAATAAAAGATGAAATGAAGAAAATAGTAAAGATTCCACTTTTTGTGGTATGTTTACTAAAAGTTAGTAAGTTTCTTCAAATATTTGATGATTTTTAAACGTAAACTATGTGGAAAAAAGGGCTTGCTCACCTCAGTTTTACATTTTGCCACTTATTGTGTTATTTACAATATGCTAATATAAAGAAATACTGCTTGCTCTAATCGTACATGTTGCACATAGAGTGAACCTTGTTTCCCAATCCAAAGATTGTACATCGGATAATCCCGGACTGATTGGCCGCTCAGAAAGTTCCCCCCCTTCAATGTGAACTATATGACTGCATATTTTCAGTGCTGTAAGATGTTTAAAATCAGATCAAAGAAGCATAAAAGATTTAAGAAGATTAAGATACATTTTTTTAAAATCATAAACTGATGTGTAGTCACTGTCGATAAAAGCTGTTTAACGACTTGCCTTTTTCTAATCATTTTTCGACAAATTTACTGCTGGACCTGTTGGCAGCTCTGCCCTAGAGGACGCAGAGAGAAACAGGACAGATTAGGTCTGAGCTGGGAATTAACCTAATAGAGCAGGTTTAGTTTTAGATGTAGAAATTAAAGGTATAGTGGAGGATGTTCTTTTTTCCCTTTTTATGAGTAGGAAAAATGCATTTGGCACAATTTGGCCACTTTTGGAACTGTGCCAAAATCGCATTTCTGCCTATCACACTGCCCACTAAAACCTTTGTGGAACAAACATGCTTTAATTTACTCAGTCCCAATTTGTTTGGAGTTGTTTGGTTCATCCAGAGTTTGAAATGGGTTTTTGTGGTGTTTTGTTTTGGAAAGTGTTTATTTTGGAAAAAAAATGTTGCTGAGACAAAAAATCTTTCATTTTTTTCTTTGTTTAATCACCTACAAATCAGACATGGTAACATCTAAAATAGTGGCTCCACCTGAAAAATATCAATGCATTTCTGTCTTACAAATACAAAAAAATGTATTTCTAGTTTAAAGGTTGGAAGCTGTACTTTCTTTTATTCACAAATGCAATTTCAGGCGGAATTTCCTCCTAAGACCCTCTGGGCTTAAGGGGTGGAATATTATTTTGTGGAATGCTGTTTATAAATGTTATTTCACAAAGTATGAAAGTATTATCTCCTTTATCGTTGCACTAATCAGAAGTTACTGCCAACACTTTGCTGTATCTTTTAAAACCCCGCCTTTGTTAAACCGTAATAATTAAAGGTATTAAAATATTTCAAAGGTGAGGATCAAAAATGGAGGAGAACTATTTGGTATGACGCTTTAACAGTAGCGCCGTTGTGTAAATAACCCTGCTGATTTTCTAAAAAATAAATATTTAGGCATCTTTCGTGTATCCAGCGGTTTTTCCTCCATCGTTCCAGAGCCATGTGAACCAGGTGCCTCGTCTTAAACGCCCACAGGTGTGGATCTGTTTTGGCTCTGAGGATCAGTTGGCAGCCTCTCAGCGGGTGTTTCCCTGCCTGCCACAAGGCGTGTTCTGGGAAAGGCTCCAAATGTTCACTTATCAAACAGAAATAATGAAAGACTCTTTCAAATGACTTTAATAATGGAATAATTACACAATAATTTATGACTTGTTGTTCACGGTTATCAAACTTTAATAGGTTCAGATTACATAATTGTTTGTCTGTTTGATAAAATCTTCCAAAACTATGTGATTTATTTCGTCCGCACTGCCTAAAATAATAACATAATTAGTAAAAAAAAATACAGCCTCGCTGATGATAATCATTGGAATGGTTTCAGTTTTGTCTATAAAACGATAAACATTTTATATTTGACATTGATTTTGTTTGAGTCTTTGTATCTTTAAAGGCTTTTTTTTGTTCTTTCTATTTTTATCTTTATTGATTCTCAGGAAAGTATTATTTACATAGACATAGGCCTCTACTTCACAGGATTAACTCCAACATTTGAAATAAGGTGAATAAGTAAGGCATTGCGTTATAGTAGTCCAAACAAAATCATTTTACTTCCCTGAGAAGAACAAAAAACTATAAAGAGGAAACACAACAATAAAAAAACTTAATTCAGTTTAATATCTAAGGAGGGTGGATTGTTGAGGAGATTTAATCACGTTTGGTCTCTAAAATTGAAATCCGATCTTTTAAATTTTATATATTCTACCTTAATCTGCCTCCACTGACAGATTTGTTCAGTCTTGTGATCTAGAGAGGCTGTTATTATTTTTCCATATGTTAAATGTTATGTCGATCCAGTCGTCTAAAGTTGTTTTGTCCTGTAATAAACATTTTCTTTTAATGTTTTTCTTACTTGCTCTTAATAAAATCCTCATTAAATATTTATTTCTTTTTTAGGCTTCTTGAGGAATTATGCCAAAATATATAAGCTTGATCTCCAAAGGAATGTTCTGTCTGAAAATATCTTTTAAAGCATTATTTATTTATTTCCATTAATCTTTTATAATTGGGTAATCCCAGAAGACATGATAATGTTTGCGTTTTGATTTCTACATTTCCTCCAAAATGTGGGGGAAATTCTGTCGTAGTGGCATTTTTGAGCAGGTGTGATAAAAAATCTTTTTAGATTTTTCCATCCAAATTCTTGTCATTGAAGAGATTTATTATATGTCCAATGGTATCTCCATATTATTCCCCATTCCTCCTCTCTTATTGTCAAATTGCCCTCTATTTCTCATCTTGCTTTGATTTGTAGGTGTTCTTTTTTTTAGATACATTATGTTTTTATAGATAATTGAAACAAATTTTCCCTTTAATTTTTGATTTGTAGGCATTAAAAAAAATTCTACGAGATATATATTTTTGTCAGTAATTGACCTCATTTTTAAATTAACAAAATTTCTTATTGTAAATATCGGTAAAAATCCTGTTTGTTCTAAGAGTATTTTTTCTTGTGTTTCAAAATCACTTAAGATTTTTTTGTTCATCATTTTGTACCTTTAAAGGTTTAAAAACAAAAAACTCACAATGTTTGGTGACTTAAAAAAAATCATTCTTATGGTGATATTAAGAATAGATATTTTTGCATTTAGAATTTTAATCCTAGATCCAGAGTAGGGCTGGGCAAAAAGCAATTTTCAAATCACAGAGGCTTTCAATTTTAGTTGCATTACATTTAACAACATTAAGATGGATTTTGGTAAGTACATTACTTCTTCTAGCCTTTTAGATGGTGGTAATATGCTTAAAATAGTTTTTCTACTACACAGAAGGGAAGAGACAGTTGCAGGAAGTAGGAACTTTTTCACATAAAGTTTACAGTTAAGTCCTGCATCAAGGTCAACCCTCTAGTGAAATATCTACATATTTGTGCTTAGTGTAAAGGGGAATTGCAAAAAAATATTGCAATCGCAATATTGGTGGAAATGAAACGCACATTTTCATCTTTGGCAAAATCGTTCAGCCCTAATCCAGAGTCCCTATTCAGTCAGGAGAGGACTGGAGAAATGTATTTCCTTATTATGAGGGGTGGACGATTTATCGGCCTTCCAATCTGGCCTAGTTGATCAGCCAATACATTGATTTGATCTTTTCCATTAATCTGATCTACTCTGTAAAGGTCTGAAAACCTCCCACTGCCATTGCCTTAAACTTTAATTTCTATTTGAAAGCAGTTATTCTTGAAGTTTTTATTGTTTCACATGCAATGTTTTTTTTCTTTCTGTAGGATAAGATTCAAATATCTTGTGATCTTATAGAAACGGACAGTGTAATTTGTAAAAAGGAATCTGTATCGATTTTAACCAGAATCGGCATGTCAGGCTTTTTTAATATCAGGAATCTTTGATCAGCCAGAAATATGTAATCGGTGCAACCCTAATTACATATCTAGTTGTCTAAAAAACTAATCTGTGTATCACTCCAGCAACATGCAAAGCAAGGTTTTCTGTATAAATAGTATCCATCCATCATTCGTAAAAACCTCAATCTCACTAAAGTTACATTTAAATTGTTTTAAAGCATCCGACTATTTATTAAATCCATTATCTGTACATAATTGCATCCACCTATCATCTATCTCCTATTAGATCTCTGCATCTGTTTATCCTGTCCCCTCTCTAACAAAATGCAATCACCTTTTTCGTTCTTTATTTAAAGTCTGTTTATAGAAAGGGTTCATACGGACCTTTTGTATCTGTACTTTTAAATCAAGTGGTAACTTTAGACAATGTCTAAGGAATAGTTTTAATAATATCCATTCTAATTTTAACGTTCTGCACAATGATGGGGCAATTTATACTGATTTGTTTAGACATAGACCTTCGGACTTAGTAAACAGTGGTTACATAAGCTTCATGTTTTAATGATGGTGTTGGGCCTGTTTCTCTGCTTTTATTGCCTTGCCAAACTTTGATTTGGACTCATTAATTTTCCCATCATTGTCAACCTTAAAATTCTTGCTCATAACAGAAAGGCAGCTTTGTGTTTGATGTGGGTTTGTTCAGATGGTGGCAACAGTAGGACATATTTTCCAGGGGAAATAAAGGCTGCTTGAAATGTAAATAAAAACAAGCAAACGCTAATTGAACAGTCTGGTTGATGATGATTTTGGATTTTAAAACCACAAGCTGTTTTTTTAGAGCTGATTAATAGTATTGTAAGCAATGCAGTTGGCCATGTGGTTTCTTTTCAATGTTAAACAAAGTGTGACTGAATTTTTTATCTCCCTTTCAGGTATCTGAAACGCTTTAAGGTCATGAAAATCAAGGTCCTGCGCTCATGGTGCCGACAGATCCTCAAAGGTCTTCACTTCCTGCACACCAGGGCCCCGCCCATCATCCACAGAGACCTGAAGTGCGATAACATCTTCATCACAGGGCCAACGGGGTCTGTAAAGATCGGAGACCTGGGACTGGCCACCCTGAAGAGGGCATCCTTCGCCAAAAGCGTTATAGGTAAGAAAACGCCCTGCTGATGGACGGAATTTTAAAGGTTGCATACCATCACTTTTGCAGGAGTAATTGCCGTTTAAATGCAAACATCCACAACATTCACGATCATTTTACTGCTGGTCGTTAAAGTAAACCACAGTTATTTTGGAAGGTACCTTTAGTATGTCTGCTGTTAAGCTAGATTTAGGCTGTCTGAGGATGTAATGGCTGCACACAAAAAAAATGTCTAAAGAAAACTTGGCTTGTTTTTTGGTTGAGTAGCCATCAGGCTGACCACAGGTATTTTCTCTGAATTCCATCTTCCTCCTCCTCTACCTTTAAGTAAGGTTCGCTGTTTGTAGTAATTACAGAGACCTCAACTATTTGGACACATTGCAGTTTGTGGTTTGTAGTACGTTTCTTTTTATTACAGTTTATGACCTGAATTTTACTGTCAGAGGTGTAAACTGTTTCCTGGCACATTTTAAGAAATCTAATGGCATCTAAAACTTGTATATTTCTATTTTTAAAAGGTACTCCAGAGTTTATGGCTCCTGAGATGTATGAGGAGAAGTACGATGAATCTGTGGACGTCTATGCCTTTGGCATGTGCATGCTGGAAATGGCAACCTCTGAGTATCCCTACTCGGAATGCCAAAATGCAGCGCAGATCTACAGACGGGTAACAAGTGTAAGTCCCTGTTTTCTGTATCCTCTCAGTTTATCTATCATGATGATATCTATCATTGTCAGTCGAATCCGAGTTTTATTTGTCATTTTGTTTCTGACCTACATCGCCTGTCCGCTTTTTCCCCTCTACACTTGTTTACTGACTGTATTAATAAGTTTGGCATGAGCTGCAGGAGTTTCAGTCATATGATGTTGTTTTTTGCTCTCATTAGGCCTTTCTCTATTGCCTCTCGCTTCTTCCTGTTTTTGCAAAACAGATTTTTTTAATAAAAGAAAGTAGCAGCAAACCAGAGGTCGATCATGTTTGACCATAGCAGTGTCTTCTGAAAGGATTTAGCAAAACCGTTAGTCGCTTTTTGTTTTACTTTTCTTATATTTGTAGCTTTAAGATTCTCACCTAAACACAAAAACCAATGGAAGGTTTCTACGGGGGTTAGAAAAGACTGGATATCGTTTTTTTTGTTTATTTATTTCAGTTCTTTCTAAGCAGATTATTTTTTCAATTAATCGATTAATAGTCGGATAGCCAAAGATTTCTTAAAGATGATTTTTTTTAAACCAGGTGAAACTAAAACTTTTCCACTTGAGGAGTTCTAGATAGAAAATATTGACGGATGTAATTTATTTTTCCTTAAATGCAAAATTTTTACATAGAATTTTTACAATTCCTGCTCTAATTTGGTGGCTCTGTCAGCTAAAGGCATGTTTTACTGTCTCTATACTCCAGTTTACTATCAATCAATTACTAAATCAGTTGATGATTATTTCAATAATTGATTAATCTGATTAATGGTTTCAGAACTAGTCCAAAGAATGTATTAATACTGATGATAAGCAAGATATTAATGCAACTAAATCAATTATGCCTATAGTTTAGCAACAACTGAGCACATAACAAAAGAAGGTTCAGCATCAACTGGTGGTGGAATGTTAATTATGTCTAATTAAAACTTGTAAACTTAAGTTCTTTTACTTCTGAAATGATTGATGAAAACAGCTACAGCTTAAGTGTAAATATCTGTGTTGCAGAGATTAAGCTTCAGATTATTATGTTCTGGATTACACATCTGTTTTCTTCTATTTTGAAAAGAATGCCACTAATTGTTTAGCTGTTATATCTGACAAATGTCACTACTTTATCATTAAAGAGTTTCAAGTAGGGCTGAAACAATTAATCGGATTAATTGTGATTAATGGGTTATTGAAACAATCGTCAGCTAATTTAGTAATTGATTAATCGTTAAATGGAGATATATAAAATAGAGGTTTTAATATATACCTTTAGCTGACAGAGCAACCCACTTCAAGCATTAATTATACCAAAATATCAAAAGAATGTGAAAACATTTTGCATTTACAGGGTTTTCGCGAGTCATTAAAAATCATTAAAAGTCATTAAATAATTATTTTTTAAATTAAGGCCTTGATTGGCATTAAAATTCATTAAATTTGATAATCGTGGCATTAAAATGCTTTGGAAAATAAGCTTGAGGCAGAGAAAAGGCTAGAGAATGGGGAAAAGGCAAATTTGAACCAAAGTGGCAGGAAAACGAGGAACTCCGGACGTGGCTGCAGCCTGTCCACGGTGAAGATGACAAAGGATTTTGCCTTGTATATATATATACATAGTCATGGGTACTTGTTGATGGCATTAAGATTATTTCTAAGAGCATTAAAAAGCATTAAATAAGAGTTACTCATTCATGCATAAACCCTGATTTAAGATAAAGATATTTTTTGTCTGTCAATATGCTCTATCCAGAACTCCTCAAGTAGAAAAGTTTAAGTTTATTAATCGAAAAAATAATCAACAGATGATTTGATTTAAAATATAATCATTGGTTTCTGCCCTAGTTTCAATTATATTTTTGGTCTGTAAATGGATCGCTTGGATTTCCATTTTGACTCAAACTATATGGATTGGGTTGTTTTCGGTCCATAATGTATTTAACTCCATCTTTATTTTCTACTTTTAAAGACAAAAAACATAGAACTTTTTATTCATTTTTCACATAAACGCTTTATAAAAGTTTCCGTAAAAAAAAGCCAAATTGTAACCTTTAGCTGCCCATTTTTAATGTATTCGGATTCATTTAAAGTCCAATTTCAGAGTGTTTGATTTAATCCAAATAGTTTCCACCTCTTATGTTTGGCTTGCACATTTAAATTGAAAAGATTTAGATCAAGATTACCTGAAGCGCTTTGACAATTGGAGCCGGAGTGGTGACAGTTTGATTTAGGACCCTACAGGAGCTGAGTAAATTCAGACACTGTGGTTTATTTAGATCAAACGTCTGGCTTAAAACCAAGCTCCCTATTTCCAATTCCTTTTATCTCTTGCAATGTTTTTATGAAAGCTAAATCCCTGTTGGATTATTATGGTGACCTGAGCCCTAAGGATCATTAAACTAAGTGATCTCATATACTTTAAACAACATAGCATTTGGCAAAACATGGCAAAATTTCCTGAATTTGTCACTGTGTGTTGGATAAGACCCTATGATAACCACAGGGAGCTTTATCACCAACTTCCTTTCTCTTCTTTGACTTTTCTACAGGTTATATAAACAAATAACTTAATGTTTAGTGGATTTTTCTCAGGACTTAAGTGATTAAATATCTGTAATTGTTTGTTTTGTTTTTTTAGCTGATTATCAGTCTGGTTTGATCATAAGTGCACAAAAAAGTTTGGATTTGGAAGTTTTCATTTTAATAACAAATCTTTAAAACAATCTTCCTTGGTTGAATCTTAACTACTTGGACTATGAGACAATTTCCTACAAGGATCTTCTCTCTAGACACACTTCCTCTCACAGTCCAAACATATATTACTCAATAAATATTAATTATATTTAGATTAAAACAGTTAAATTATTTTTTTAATTTCTTTCTTTTTCAACCAGGAAGCTTCCCCATTGCTCTCAGACAGATTTATTATCGTAGTGACTTAAATGGAAGTCAGATACAGGAATTAAAGGCTGATTGGACTGTTTTTTTTTTTTAAACATTCAAAAACTGTCTCAGCTTACTGTGTTAAATATAAATTTCTGTATTACTGTGTCAGAAGGCAAGGCGAGGTTACTTTATTTATACAGCACATTTCATGCACAAGGCAACGCAATGTGCCTGAGAGCAACACAAACAATAAAAACAGAATAAAACACAATAAAAAAAATAAACACAATACTAAATCAATCAATACAAATATATAAAAAATGCATATTGTATATTACAAGTAGTTAAAATACAATCAATCACCATAGCTAACATTAAATAGGCATGTTTTTAACCTGGAATTAAAGGTAATGTGGAGGATTTTTGCAAATAAAAAAACAAAAAAAAACAAAAGCCCATTTCTCCTTGTGCACGCTCTGTTTAAAAGTTGCTGTATTCATAGCTCATAGAAGCTTACTGTGCCGGAACGTCCGCTCTAACTCTAAATCCCTCAATCCCTTTAAAGAGAGGGAACTATATAGTGGACTTTATAGTGAACTGACCGTTCGGACAGATGATCAGTGCGTTTTGCTTCCCGTTGCTCAGGTAACACCTCCTCCACTGCGCGGTGTCTGCTCCATCTTTGTTATTAGTCTGACAGCAAATCCCATAATGCTTTGCGAGTAGAGCTCTCTGCCTAAAGCATCTGGGATATATCTACCTGTTGTGAGGCCTTTCTTTTCTTCTCATACACTTCGTTTACACTTTTACGGCATTACGTAAACACATCACCAGAATGATTGACAGTTAGGAGGACCACTTATTTAGATGATCCACCCAGAAAAAAAAGATCGTCCTCTATACCTTTCAACATTGTCAGGTAGAGGCTTCTTTGACCTCCTCACTGAGGCTTTACCAAACCTGCATGAAAATGAAATGCAGCCTCACCATGTTTACTGGTTCCAGGGACAAAAAGCCTTTCTGTTTTTTTACCAGCATTATTTCAGGAAGAGATTTGATGCTCTGAAAGGCTTAGGCTGCATTGCAGCTCCTCCAAAGTTACATTTATACCCTGCTGGCTCTCTGATTGACGCCCTTATCTCCCTCTTAGTTTTAGTTATCAACCACTTTGGGACTTATTTGGAGAGCTCCTGAGTTTCATAGTGTGTTGCCTCTTGCTTTGTGGTTTTGCAGCCTCAGTGACCTTTCAGAGAAAGTGTTTTTACACTGACGGATCATGTGACTCAGGTGGACATCATTCCAATAATTGCCATGTTGAAGTGAATTACCTGCATCAGAACCAGTGAGGCGCCTCATAAAAAAGCAGCTGAATAAATACGCAAGCGGCAATTTTCAGCTTGTTTGTTTGTCTTAGAAATTCTGTTTTCATGTACTTTTTGTTATTAAAACTCACCGACTTCCAACTATTTCGCTAAGCTCGTCACATTAAATTAGATTAGCAAAAGAGGTCAAGAACCGGGTGGGGGGGCTGGGGGGGGGTTAAAGCCTTTGCATGGCGCTGTCTGACAGAAACTTTTTTTTCCCCATGACATTCTTTCCTTATGAAATGTGGAGGATTTTTGTGTCCAACACATGAAATTGACTTTTCAAGATGATCAAATTAAATTATTATTTCTTTCTTTTGCGTTTTGTTTTTTATTCTCCTTAATGGGAATGTTTGGTCCAATAAAGCAAACATTGTGTTGTGTACTCTTTATGGTTTGTTATCATTGTTTTAAACCTTGCCAAGCCATGATGGCGTAATTTAGTCTTCTTCCATTCTGAACATTCCTTCCTCCCAATTAGCTTTATTTAACTAAAAGCTAGCTTTCTCTGCATCCCTTGCTTCTTATACCAGACTTAATGCCATTACATTGACCATCCGTCCCAACTTTGTTTGCTTCTGAATCCCAGCGGTGTGCATGTGTGTTCGTTAGAGCGTGTAATAGAGCGATGAGACTTCTTATATAACGGTGGGTTGCAGGAAAGAAACATGCTAAGGAAAACGGGAAGAGTAGGAGGAAAATAATTTTCTGGTTTGACTCCATCAACTTGATTTTATCGATTTTTTTTTTTTCTTTTCACCACCTGGTTGGTAAGTTATTCATATGACCAATCTTAAAGCTTCCTATCTCTGCTATCTGTTGAAATTCTTCTTTGTGTTTAACTATTATCTGCCTGCCCTGTTTGTGTTGCGTTGCATCATTATTCTAACTCTTAATTGACTCGTACGTCTTAGATCCAGTTACGTTGAATTTATCTGCAACACAGAGTTTAAACGGTGGAGCTTGTGTGTGGAATATTTTTACCAGCAATCCACATTTTATTTTCCGTAACTTGGTTAGCTTGTAATCAGATTTGACAAAGAGCAGCGATAGATATGCAGAATAAATGGAAAATTATTTTTGTAATTATATACATTTGATCATATAACAAAAAAAGCAATAAGCCAAAGGTATTTATTGTGCAATTTAGTAAATCGTTGAAACATAATCTCAGTAAAATGAGTATTTTTACCCTTTAAAATAAGATAAGTGGATTTTATGTTTTTGAAATAAGAGACTGCAGTTGTTTTTCTTACTTTAAATGTAATTCTTTATTGGCAAAATGTCATTATTCAAGAAAAGGTGCACTTATTTTAAGAAAAATAGGCTTACTTGGTGCTTTTTATTTTTTTATTTATTTTTTTTTTTATTTCTGCTTTTTCGCTAATATATGGGGTTAAATGTGACATTAAAGTCATTTAAGAAGCTTTGTAATCTAAAATTATTCCTACAGATGCATTAATGTCCTGTATGCATTAACTAATTTAGAAAAATGTAATTGTAAAGCAATTAAGGGAAAAAAGTGAAATATAAAAAAAAATATTATAAATTATAATACCAATAATTTAATGTCTGTTTTCTGTTACATAAAAAAAAATATTTGTATCTTTTTAGTGGCATGTAAAACCAGCAACTTTATTCTCTTTTATGCATTTTTTTTTATTTAGAAAAAAAGAAGCATTTCCAATGTTTCATTGATGTATTCTTCTTTTATTATGATTTATTTTTCTCTGAACTTTATATCTTTTTTTTTCTCTTGCCCAATAAGGCATGTATTGCCTTTTACTATGCAGCCCTAGCCGTCATTCCTGGTGCCAAACCTCTGAGCTGGAGTCCAGCTGATTATGTCCGTTAGTATTACATCTCAGAAACGGGTACTTGAGCTCTTAATTGCTTCTGTGACCCTGTGGTTCATTATTTTCCCCTTCAGCTGTTTTTTTGTAGGGTCAAACCTTTACTGACGGGTCTCTGACACGGCAGGTCCTCTGATCAACAAATATTTAACCCGAACATCTAATTTCAGTTAGCTTACTCAGTTAAAAATCTGATGCTCGTCTAAAAAAAACATACTTGCACATATGCTTAAGTCATGCATGAAAAGAAAGATTATGTACAAAGGTGAAAATTAGAAACTTTGAATTAGTTATTCAAAGGGTAGCAATAAGTTAGAACAAAGCTGAATTCTCTCCATGTGTTAAAAGCTTTCTCTCCTCTTTGTTCTTTTTCTTTTGCAGGGAGTGAAGCCTGCGAGTTTTGACAAGGTGGCCATTCCTGAGGTGAAGGAAATTATAGAGGGCTGTATAAGAACAGACAAAGATGAGCGGTGAGTCACAAGGATAAAAACTGCCCCCAAATATGGATTTCTTCTCTGACTTGTTTTGCTTCCTGTTATTTTATTTCTTTCAGTCTTTCTTCTTCCTGTTTTTATGCTAAATAATTTTAGTCATAATTAGGTACTGTCATACAAAGCTACTCTAGCTTTGTGTAGTTTCCTGCTTTTATTTTTCTGCATGTCTCTGTCACCTCCAGATATGCCATCAAAACCCTGCTGAACCACGCGTTCTTCCAGGAGGAGACAGGGGTCAGGGTTGAACTTGCAGAGGAGGATGATGGGGAGATGATTGCTATCAAACTTTGGCTCAGAATAGAGGACGTCAAGAAGCTCAAAGGCAAGAATCTGGGAAACTTAGTATTAATTTGTGTGTAGGAGCTTTTATTAGAGGCTCAGAGAGGAGTGTTGACAGAAAACCCCTAAGCTTATATTTGTACATCCAAGGTTAATAATGGACAGCGTTTTTTCACATGCCTACAGGTAAATATAAAGAAAACGAAGCCATCGAATTTTCCTTTGACCTGAACAGAGATGTACCGGAAGATGTTGCCCAGGAAATGGTAGGTTCAACTCCTTAAAGTGGGGTGCTCAAGATCTGGAAGTTTTTATTTAAACGTTTGATGCAACATATGCAGATGGGAAATGTAAAATAATCGCTAAATCCTACAGGTGGAATCGGGTTATGTTGCTGAGGCCGACCACAAGACCATGGCCAAAGCGATCAAGGATCGCGTGTCTCTAATCAGGAAGAAAAGAGAACAGAGGCAGCTGGTGCGAGAGGAGCAGGAGAAGAGAAAGCTGGAGGCAGAGCAGCAAAAAGAGGCGTTCAAAGCTCCCCACACTCAGGTTTGTGGAATCAGGTCTGTTTTTATAGAGGTTAACAGCAGCTGGGAGGAAGGATCTGAGGAAATGCTCCCTTGTGCACCAAGGGTGCAAATAATCTCTAACTAATAAACCTCTCTCATTCTGCTTCACCTTATTACATGAAATGCGAGACTATGTCCAACATTTATGGGGGTTTTATCCTCAGTTTATCTCCAAACCTGAAGTGTTTTTTGTTGCTTTGAAAACAGGTATAAAAAAAACAAAAAAACCTGGTAAAGTCAGAGAAGGCTAGAAGAAAATATGCATTTATGGTACATTATCTCAAAGCAAATATATGTAAGGAATTTTATACAGGTTTGATCTCAGTACATTAACATAAAGAGCTTTTCTGATTTAATTTGAGATCATGTGACTAGAATCAAACCTGAATTGATTTGATTGTTTTTCTCATGTGTAACGTTCCAAGCTTGTGTTTTTTTCCAGTCAAAGATGGAGGATGCAGAGTCAGAACAACTTCACCACCAGCATTCTCACACATGTAAGGCTGGGAGCTGTTTATGTACCATGTAGTTTACCTTCATCTATATTTGATTGCTAAAGCTGATAAACATGTAGTAATATAGCAGGATATTATAAGTTTGATTCGGCCATATTTAATCAGAAATCAACCCAGAACTGATTCCTCTTTCTTCTCTCACTTTCTTTCACTTTGTTCTGCTGCAGTAGATTAACAGCAGATTACCTCCATGTTTTTCACTTTAGCTGAAGGCGGACTGGACAGCAGACAAGGTTCCTCGGTTTTCTCCTCCGACTCCCCCCACCTGGGTCAGCTGGCTATGTCCTACAGCTGCCCCCCGTCCTCCCAGCCCCCCTCCCAACCCCAGACCCCATACCCCCAAACTCCCTCTGCTGCGTCGCAGCAGCATCCAGGCTACTCGCAGCCACCGCAGCCAATGGTGAGTAACAGCTTTATGTAAAGGCCTCATGGCGGTCAGCTCCTGCCTGTCACTGAAATGACTCATCAGTTATTTTGGAGTGAGCTTTAGTGACAGTTTGCAGTGTTTGGAAGTGGGAATGAAGATGTTTCGGTTGTTGCATCAATAACTTTAGACTACAAATTGTTGGACTGCTCACTTATGCAACAATGGCATGGAATTTACACCCTTAAATCTAATTTTGAAGGGAAAACAAAACTTGATAACATCACCATTAAACTCATCGGTCAGGTAACAGATAGATGTTCTCTATAACAGTCAGACATTAGGTCAGTTATTTGCTTCATTTTCAGAGGACAAGTGGAAAGATTCCTCCTGCAGGGACCATTCACTTTATGTTGAGTCATATTCTTCACCCTCAAAGATTTCACTTTACACGTTTTTGTTTTGTTTTTTTACGATCACTTCTTTCCACCTCTTGCATCAACATTTGATGCCATTTTCCTTTCTTTAGAAAGGATCGCTCTTTTGTTGCGGTGCTTTGCAACATTTTCCCCAATTTTTTACAACCATGCACTACCGTGTTATAATAGATCAACACAAAGTACTATATTACAACACTTTTGCATCTAAAAATCTAAAAAGTTTTGTGTGCATTGTTATTTAGCTACCTTTACCTTTACAGTCACGATAAAGACCTGATTGATGCTTAGAAAATATATACATTTTCAGTCAGACTGCAAACATTTCAACTTCTTGTTGGGAAAAAGTAATAAAAGCAAACCTTTAAGGACTTGGAGCTACAGAAAACGTGGTTTAACAAATCTTTGACTGAGGATTTTAAAACAGATTCATCCCACAGGTTTTAGATTTTTGCTCATTTTGTTGGTTTATTGGGTAAAATCCCTGTGAAATACACAAATGCTTACAGCAACAATATAAAAAAAAACAAGAGAACTTGTGGGGAAAAAAATGTTCCTTGTTTAACTAAAGGTTTAGGGTCCAAATGTAACATAATTCATACAGTTAGATCATTTTTTTTTTTAATAATCTAATTTTCTTGCAATTATGCTGCAGATTAGTTTGATTCCTTTCCTAATGTCCCTTTCAAAGTGGCTGTTAATAAAGTTATGTGTTGCATTAAACATTATTATCTCATCCGACTTTATTCTGGACTGATTTACAAAAAAAAAAAAAGAAAAAAGAAAAGACTCTTTCTGACGCATTTGTTGAGTTTATAGATTCATTGAGTTAATAAGCCCCATTTTATCATCAAAGGTTGCTTCTTGGCGCTGGTAGAGTTTGCTAACTACTTGATGTATTGGGTTAGACCACTTCTTAATAGAGGGTTTCTGAATCCAAAACTTTCATTCTTGCTTGAAGTCAAATTTTCCACAATCTTTTAGATGTTTGTTTTTTCTCATGTTAAGTATTTGTCTTTTATTTACTCCTTTGATTACATGATCATTTATGTCCTCTCTGATTTAATCTAGTTATTGTAGAATCTTTAAAGTATTGTGTTAGAAACATGTTAAATTGTTCCTGGTGAGGTGATCTGCCTCTAATATTAGATAAAAAAATGTCTGTTTGAAAATGTTAACCTGCATTTTATTTCAGTTCAGTTTCCTTGGTTCATCCTGTTATTCTTTTGTTTCTCTTGAAGTGCTGTTTTTTATTTTATTTATATTTTTCCATGTTAATCTCACCTTCTTCCATCCCCTCTCCCTGGCCTGCAGCCTGCGTCACACGGCCGTCGAAGCCGTAGCATGTCTATTTGCGTCCCCCCTTCCTCGTACTCCTTTTCCCACGCTCCTTCGTCTGTGGCCGTTCCTCCAAAAAAGCCCGCCACGCCTCCTCCAGACCTGTCCTTCCACACCTCCACCGCCTCCCCCTGCGTGCCTCTCGCAGCTGAGAGGGACACATTCGCTGGCCGCCTCTCTAAGGCCCTGGAGACGGTGCTGCCCCTTCACTCGGGCTCCTCTCAGCCCAGGGCCAAGCAGCGGAGGGCCAGCCTGCCTGCCCTGTTCTTCACCCCTGTAGGTTCACATGTATAATCCCCCCATTGGGAGGGGAGTCAAATAGGGAAGAGAGAGAAAAAGATGAGAAACTTTTTTTTTTTTTTTTTTTTTTTTTTTATTCAATAATTGCACACTTTACAAAAATACAAACATTCGTCTCCATTGAGAAAATATTACATATAAAGGTATATATCTGTTATTGTTACCAGCAAACCAATAACAAGAATTCAACTTTTTTTTTTTTTNGCCTGCCTGCCCTGTTCTTCACCCCTGTAGGTTCACATGTATAATCCCCCCATTGGGAGGGGAGTCAAATAGGGAAGAGAGAGAAAAAGATGAGATGAGAAACTTTTTTTTTTTTTTTTTTTTTTTTCCAATTTTAGTGGAAGTTACAAACATGGATTTAATGTTTTCAGTTCATTAGTAATACGATATAAAGGTATATATCTGTTATTGTTACCAGCAAACCAATAACAAGAATTCAACTTTTTTTTTTTTTAAAGCTGCATTAAAGACTACACCAAAAAAAATTTATTTTTACTTTCTCACAAGCTGTACTTTTTAGAATTGAGCTCTTATATCAGCTTGGATGCTAACAGTTTACAGGTAAATTAGCAAAAGAAAAATAATTGCTCATAAGTTTGCATCTTAAAAATATTGAGCATCCGTTTTTTTCTTTTAGTGCTGATCCTGGGACTTTACTCCTCTGCATGTTTTAAGGCAGCACTAAACCCTGCTTTTTTTTTTTATGTTCTTTGGCTCCTCCTGCAGTCTCGGGCGGCTCCTCACACATGCAAATTCATTTACTGTTAGGGAAGTCCTCATGAGAAACCACCAACAATGTAAAGTAAAAAAAGTAAAAGAGTTAGAAAACAGATGTTCCACCATCTGATAAAATACCTGAAGGAAAAGTTTATCCTTTTAGATTTTTCTTGGATGATATAACAGAAGAAACTCTTTAAAGTCTGCCTGTAAAATCTAGTTTAATCTTTACATTTTTCTGACTGTTGGCTTCTTTAAGCTGTCTTTAAGGAAAGCTCTGTGTTTAAACCTTGAAGCTTTTTCTCTGTTTTTTATCCTGAGAAGAGATCCCTAAGGAGAAACTCTTTAAATAACACTTCATAATGTATATATATTAAATACCATGAGATATGACAACAGATTTTTAAGGAAATGGTAATCTTAAACAGACCAGAGAAGATGCTTACAGTTACAGAAGGCAGCTCTTACCACATGTCGTCGAAGTGGAATCGCAGCTAAAGAAGCATTTTATACAACTCCAGTCTGCCACATCGTCACACGTTTGGGATTTAGTTCATGCAGGTGTTATTAGGGTTTAACAGACTCGCACATCATCAATAATCCCAACACTTCAAATGTTTAGAACAAAGTTACTATTCAGTTATCCTTCAGGGAATTCCAATGTGTGTCTGAGCTGAGAAATGCCTAAAACATCTAGAGTGGGAAACCCCAGGATCATGGTGGGTCAGCACCGACTCGTTTATCTCTCTTTGACTCTCTCTCTCCCTGGAGTTGACCCTCATGTGTTCATATTGAACAAAGAGTCTGAGTGTCACGAGCCATGATCATGCTCCATGGTACAAACGTCTTGTATGAGATGCATCTACAGTCAGATTAGACATCTTATTCTAGACCAAACTGAGTGCTAAAAACAGGAAAATGTGTGATTTATTCCTCACAAGATGCTAGCTGCCTCATTTTGGTTAATCCTGTAAATAATTAGTTTTATCTGACTGAAGATACATTTGACTTCGGCACGCTTCGAGCCTTTTTGGCGTTTCCTCTTGCCTTCTCCACTTTCTCTCCAGCTCCTCTTGCTTGGTTTCTGTCTTTCTTGGTCTGCCTGTCTGTGTGCTGCAGCTCTACCTCTGTGATCCACCTGCTGTAACCAGCTTTACATCTACGCCTCACCTGATTTTGTTATTTTTTATCATTTTTAAGTAAACTTCCTGATTCAGCCTACTTGTGTTGTGACAGATTCCTTTTGTTTTGTGTAGAACTCTCGCTCCATTTCATTTGGGCCTTTTCAATGCGATTCACTTGATCTTCATGCTTAAATCGATTGTATCTCACTGTCGCAGCAGCATTCAATGCCACATCCCTACGGCGGAGGAGCGGGCGGGGGAGTCCCAAGTCTCCCAGAGCCTCCGAACATTTTCTTCCCCTCCATCGCTGAGCGTCCCATTTCCTTCTCTCCTCCACCAACCGGGCCTCCAAAGGGCTACAACACCCAGAGACGCAAGAGCACCTCCATCTTGGAGGCTCATACACGTCACTTCCAGCCAGCCTACCCCCGGTACGGAAGCACCCTGCACCCGTTTTCTGGCATGGAAACTGCAGAGGCTCCATCTCTCTTTATGGTGAACCCTGGCTTTGCAGCAGCCGCTCAGAGGCTCGGCGCTGGTGACTCTCTGCATCTCCCAGGGCAGTCCGAGCCCACTTTGTTTGGATATAAAGACATGCGAGCAGAACACGAGGAAGCAGTGAGGCGTTTGAGTCTTAATCAGGCTGCTTTGTTGGACCATTATGAAGCAATGGCGTATGCAGGGTACCCAATGACAGCCCACCAGCTGGGTCACCTGAGTTATCATCATCAGAGACAGGCAGCAGCTGCGGCGGCAGGCTTTGGCTTCGATCCTGGTCCTCCACCTCAACCGGGATTCATACACCCACACATATTGCAGAGAATCAGTGCACACAGCCCAATACCCCCACCGCTGCCCCCCATGACTCCATCCACTGGAGGGTCCATCTCATCTTCATCATCCGACAGCTGCTTCCCTCCTCAGCATGCCTCCTCATCCTCCTTCCCCATTTCTGCCCCTCCAGTAATGGCAGACGCTCCTCCTGCTGGAAGTGTTTTCGAGTTCCATATAGCTGCAGCCGCCGCCGCTGCAGCTGCAGACCCAAACCTGCTGGCGTCCAGAATTTACAGAGCTCGGCGGAGCTCTATGGACCTCCCCCTGGAGGACAGCTCTGGAACGGGATCCGGTGGTTCGGGATCGTACAGCCGCCTCCAGCCGGTCACAGAGGAGCTCTACTCCTACGTCAGCCCAGAGCTTCCAATGCCTCCTGGGAACCTCCTCCTTCACCACATTGGTTTAAGCACAAAGGACCGAAGCCCTGAACCCTCCAGCGACTCTCTGGCCTCCTCCGATGCTGGAGAGTTTCAGTCGCCACCTCCCCCGAATCTCCCTGCTCAGTTTGACTCCTCAGCCGCTCAGTCCATCCCTCGCTCCTCCTCTTCTGCACACCAAGATTCCTCAGGAGGAGTCCTCCACCAAGACCCCCAGGGACATGCACCATCCATCCAGCACTTTTTCCCTCCAGCTCTCTCCTCCGAATTCCCACCTGGTGGAGCATCATCAACTCACCTGGAGTCTCTGCAGAGTCCCTGGTCCCAGCAAGGAGGGGTGGCACCAGCCCAACCTGATATGACCTACCATGAGTCATTGCAGGCTGCTATTCCCCCTCTGGTACAGAGTTTAAACTTAGGAAACACTGGTAACCCTCTGGGTCAGTTACTAAAGGAAATCATTCACTTATTGTTTACTAAATCTTTTATTTTTTTTTATTTTTTTTAAGGGTTCCAACAGTCTTAAAAACTATAAGGTATGAAAAAAGACAATTTATATTCTATTATTTTATGAATAAATCCTTATACAATTTCAAGTTTAAAATTATAAATAGAATATGCTCACTGATTTAAAAGTTACCAGTTTGGAGACCTAAATAATCTTAGTGTGTTTGTTTTGGGATTTTTTGTTTGTTTTGTCTTTTTTCTTAATTTTTCAGATAAGTATGCCAATAGAAAAAGCTTTAAAAAGCGACGTACCACCTTCGATTTGAACCAAAATTGTCTAAAAATTTTATATTGAGGAGATAAATATAGAATAAAATCATGCTTAAATGCACACGTGAACGTACCGTTAGTTAATAGTGTATGGCAGCGTGTTTTAAAGGAAAACCAGCATTCAGTCTTTTCGAGAAGCCTGTAAGGACGCCACAGCTTCAATTTGTGGAAAACGTCTCTCTATCTAGCATTCCAGCCTTCTTTTAAGGACACAAATGGTTTTTAATAGATTCAGTGCTTGAATCTGAAAAGGCTGTTACTAAACTCTTATTTTCTCCTCACTCTAATGTATTATACTGATACCCTCCATCATCAGCTTTTATATAAAATGCCTGTTTTAGATCATTAATACCGATTGGATCTATTAATAATGATACCACCATCTCCGATTTTGACCCAAATTTCAAGATGAATCTTATCAGAAAGTGATTTTACCTTCATTTTTTTAGATGTTCTTTCTTTGTGAGGAACAACTTTTGTCTTTAACCCAACCAATAATGCTGCATCATCAGTGACGTTGTCGTACCTCCACCAAACACTGGCTTCAGCTAACGGATTTAAATGTGAGGAAAGTCTTTCTTTGACACCAGACTTTCATACTGGGTTCATCAAACTCAGTTTATTGACATTTAGAAGTAATCATCTAAGGCAGCATTTAATTTTACACATTTTTGCCCTTTTCTGTTTTACAGTTAATTTGTAGGACAGGAAAACTTTTATAGATGGTGAAAAAAATGAATTAAATAATGATCTCTGAAGCTTATAACTTTAAGATCCAATAGAAGTTGTTGAAGTTGACGTTTTTGTTCTTAAATATGAAAAAGTTTAAATAAATTAATTATGATGATAAACAATCTAGAAAGGAAATAAAGAAGATTTGTTGGAACCCAGCTTCAGCTACAAACCTATTATTTTTTTAAACAACTTTATAAAAAAATGTACCGCCTAAGGTTATAATCTGCATATAAAACAGAGGATATAAGCTTTTAATGCATTTTAATTGAATGATATTAGTAATCTGACCCAGAGGCAGTCATAAAGACCCCTGTTGTTTCCATACCCTGCTGACCCAGACCCTCCCCAGCTGATGCTTGTTATTCATCCTGTAGTCTCCTTGTGATTTTAACCCCCTACAGTCATATATCAGCACCGCAGAGAGAGTCTCACAACACCCCCACCCTCACTGCTCCTTTACACTGTAATTGTGTCTAAACATTGCTTATAAAAAGCTTGATTTAAATCGAATACAGCTCAATTATAGTTTAATAGAGAAAAGCTTGACTGTTTGACCTCAAATAGAATCCGTATTATTGGTTCTATATCTTTAACAGGTTGTTTTGGAGACTCTCTCTGGTGAACAAGCTTTAGAAACAGTCTAAGCCCCCTCTTTTATGTGTTTATTTTTTATTTTGGTTTACTTTGTCTTATTAGTAAGTAATATTTTGTCTGTATGTTCATATATGAATGTATATGGAAAAATGTGTGTTTGTGTAGGTATATTGATTCTGTGTCATACTTACATGTTGATCGTACAAATCCAAAGTCTGCTTGATCTTTTAAAAGTTTCCCAAACTTACAATTAAATATAGAATAAATATAACTATTGTTTTGTACTATAAGCTTTTAATTAGATGCATTATTGATTGTAATAATAACGAAATGCAAGACTTTGAGGATTTGTATGAACAAACACACAGAAACATACAACAAAACTGAGGGGGCTTGGTCACTATGCAGTGTAACCATGCAGAAATCCATTTCTATGTTTGATTTTTAGGTTTTATTTTGTAAATACAAAAGAGTTCGGAGATTAAAATATGTTAAACCCTTAGAATGCTGCCAAAAACACCTTTTTTCTTTTTGCATTTGCTCCAGAAACTCAGCATAGAACTATCCTTTCATTTCTATCATTCACTCATTATTGGGTTTTATTTCGCCATTCATTCTTCTTTAAAATAAAATATTCCTGTACATTTCTCAGTTATATTTGGGTCCATTGAACCTGATCGATGATTTTCTGACCGTGTTGTTAGAAGAAGGTAGGTACAGTAGCAGCAAATGGATGTGAGCGACACAAAGTCAAATACAGGAGGGGTTCATTCATCCTTTGCAGTCTGTTCATTGCTGTCCTGTAATTTTTTAGATTATGAAAGATTTAAAGTACAGTTTGGGGGAGAATTTCACAAAAGTCATCATGGACTTCAAGGTTGCATTAATTTTAGACTTTAGGGATTTAATCTTTTTTTTCCAAGGTTGAAATTAATGTACCACATAAATAGTTAATTCAATTAAAGGTCAAAAACCAGCATGGTTCAGCTCTGGAAAAGCCGTTCCATAAACTTTTTTAGCCTAATTTATCCATTCCCTTCCTTATCCCCCCACTGTAGCAGTGCTAACAAAGTGGCCTCGCAGCATGCTGCAGCCACCACCATGCATGACTATTTCTGCAGTTTCCCCAGATTTAAAAGCACCACTTCAATCCTTCCCGATATGCTACTATTGCATCCAGTAGTTGATTATTTATTTATTCTTTTATGTGACCTTAAAGTTTTTCTCTGGAAGTTAATTGGCTTTTCCATGGAGATGTAGAAAAGGGTTTCTAAATTGCACAGCGATGCTGGTATTTGAGAAAATTCCCTTTCTTAGCAGGTCTAAGCCTAAGTGGCTCCTGTGTTTTTTCTAAACTTCCTGGAGGATGTTCTTCCATTTAAAGGGAAAGGCGGAAGATCAGACAGTCGGAACATGAACAAGAACCCCAATCGCTCAGCAAAACGCAGTTTGAAAGTGGATCTAGGAGGCTAATATCAAATACCTTTAATATGTGGCCTTTATATATCAAACTTTCTTGCTGTGAATTCATTTCACCTTGAAAAGACAATGATTAAAATGCATCATTCAAAGCGTAAAACTTGAACAGATTTGTTGACCATGTCTGGGTGCTCTCCAGACTGTAACTATACCATTTCGACACAGATGTGTGGATAACTACAAACAAGGCACAATGAAAGAAGCAATCTAATCTGTAGTTAGTGTAGCATTCTGTTTTTATTAATCTCCACCCACTACTGTATACTGAGCTCTAATCACTATGTTATGTAACAGTTATTAGTGCTGCCAATCCTCTAGGGTCTTACCTGCATGTGAAGTGTCCTACTTACACCCTGCCTAACCCCAGTAATGTGCTCGTACCGTTGCTGTATTTTCATCCAGTAGATGATGCTTTAGTGTACATGTGCTGTCTTTGTGCATGTGTGCATACACAAAAAGAAAGTGATCATTAAAGAAAGGGGCAGTCTTGTGTTTGCACTCATGCTTGCTTTGGGTTTAAATCTACAAACATGCACTGATTACTTTTCTCTTTTTTTTTTTCTTGTTCTCATTTTTCTGATTTCCTATCTGCACCCTTCATCTTTTTCCATCCTGCAACATTGGATCTCCTCTTCTCGCTGTCTGTCCTTCGGTCTTTCTTTCTATGAATCTTTTTCCAAGCAGCAGGCTCAGACTCCAACTCCTAAACCAAGTTCAGGATCCCCTCTAGTCCCTGCTGCAACACAATCTGATCCTGCAGGAACGTCCCAACAGGTAAGAAAATAAAGAGATCATGAATTTCAGAGCTTTTATTGTGAAAACTACCTACAGTCAGGAAAAAAAAACTTTTTTTTTATGCTACATTTTCTTCTAACATTAATCCTTGTACCGTAATATGCCATTTTTAACCTTTTCTTTTAAATATGTGCATAAAATTGCAATCCAGTACAATATTTATGTTAGCAACTTGATTACATTTGCTAAGCAATGCATTGGTATTTTATTTTGTCCCACTAATGTCGCTATATACCTGTATTTGTTTTTTTCCATCTCATTTTATTCCAGGCTCTGTTATGTGGTCAGAGTTCTTCCCTTCAGAGTCCATCACACACAGGCCTGCAGCAGGCATCTGCACAGGTACTTATTGATTACATTTAACTGGCCCCTATGTGCCTAAACATGCACCAGCACTTAGCAGAGAGGTGTGCTGCACTTAGTGCATTGAGCATGCTCTCTATGATCACTTCTTTGCAGGAAATGTGCAAACTAATGCAATACACTAGATGGTTCTTAAGCTCCTGTCCTCAAAGGCTGGTGTATATGTATATGAACTGATTAGTTTAATAACAAGGCTACGTAGAAGATCACTGCATGCTGAAAGGTGTGTTCAGCCTTTACATCCAGAGGTTTTTAGATTAAGGACGCATCTAAAAGTAGCAAGACACCAGCAATGTAGGACAGGAGTTTGAGATCCTTTGAGTCTTACTTAGATTTTATTTAATCGTTTTGCAATTTTTGCTTACAAACATCTTGATTATCATTTTGTGACTTAGAGAATAGTTTATTTATTAAATAAGATTATAGAAAATGAGCCCTTAAATATCATTACACCTGGTAAAGATGTGGAAAAAGTTGCAAATCTTCAGACAAAGATTTCTTTTAAAAAAAGGTCTACAGTTAATGAAACAGGTAGACTACCAATTTTATTCAGGTTAAGTTCCTAAAAGTGACATTTTCATTGTATTTTGAAATGGGATTTAGTTATTCTCCCATTAAACTACAGTGGGAAACTAGTATAAATGCCAACCACACTCTACCTGCAAGAACCATTAAGTAGAGTTCATGTTTTTAAATACAGGATCTTTGATTCTCCTTCATGATGGCAGAAAGCAATACAGTAAATTTTCATTCATCAAGTTTAGATTTCTGGTTTCCAATTTTGATATGCTGGTGAATTTATCCAAACTAAAAATCCCCTTTGATTAAAGACCATTCAAAAAGTCCTTTTTCCTGTGAGCACACCTATCATTATTCATACAGTATCAGTAGAAAATGATTAGAGATGACATTTTAAAGTAACTTCATCATCGTATGTTAATGATTGCCTTAGTAAAACAGCAGTCTGTGTGTTTCCTGTTGAGAAAGAGCAGCCTTGCCTAAACTAGGAGAGGCTGACATTTCCATCCCTTACAGTTTAAAAGAACAACATCACTATTAACTAATGAAGGTTCCTCTCTCTCCCTCCTTTATTTGCATATTTATATCAACAAAAAGTACAGTTTTTTCTTAATATAAAACATGCATGTTTTGATAGCTTCCTAAATATAAAATTCTCTTGCTTCGTTTTGAAAGACCTGACTGATACTGAAAACATCTAAATTTGAGTCTTGGTAAAAGATTGGGCTGAGCTAAAAATCTTTCCATCGCATTCACCAGCTGATATCTCTGTTCATGTCTTCTAAGAACACCTAAATGTATCTACAGTGAAAGCAGAGCGAAGAGAAAGCTTTTTTAAAATCTTTTTACTCATCTTTACTGGGGGGTTTTAATTATAGCGGAGGTTTTAACATGTGGAGAAGTTTTAACATGTGCACATTAATGAGCAAATTACCTTAATAAGTAAGCAGCTTTAGTAGAATAGCAGTGAGCAGTGTGTGTGGATATAGCATATTCTGCTTCTTCTTCAGCTAACTTTTTTAATTTTTGTCTTTTGATCCTCTTGCATGCTGCTTGTGTTTCACCACTGGGTTTGTGTCGTCTTTCTGTGGTGTGTTTGTGTGTGTGTGTAGTTCTGTGATCTAAGCCCATCACCTAGTATAGAGCATCTTTATCTGTTATACCAGGCTGCCCAGCAAGCTCTGGTTAAGGTAATGTTAAAATAAGTGGGTTCATGTAAACCAGTGACTTTCCTTGTATGTTTGTGTGTCTGTGAACCTTTGAAACTAATTGCACATTTGGATCTGTTTGATGTCCTTTAAATTACCAGCAGATTCAGCTTCCATAATTGAATGAACTAACTCTTTTCATATTTGGTAGCATTTTTCTTTTATGTACCTAGGACGCTCCCCCTAACTGCTGTGATTAAAAGCATGAATAATAAATGAAGGAGTTATTTTATGTAAATGAAGTCGGGCACTATTTTCAGTATCACAACTGATAACCGTGAAAAGGTCAGTGTTGAATCACCAGGCAATGAGAAACGTGAAATGTGAGCACTTTTAAAATGGACGTTTATAATTCCTGGCTAAACTTTACACAAATTCATGTTTTATGTGTAATTTCTATGGTCTTCATTCACTTACAATGCAAGTTTCATCACAGTCACTTAAAATTGCATGCTTTTTGACCCACTGTGTGTTTGTATGTGGCAACACATGCTCAGGGGCCACAGTTACTGAAAGCCAAAGGCTCAGGGGCGAGACATCCATTCATCATTACGTGGAAAAAAAAAAAAAAAAGTTTGTTTAGAATGACTCTTTGACTTTCAAAGCTGTTTATTTTACTGCTTTAAATCAGAAATGCAATAAATATTTCAATTTGTGTAAAGAAATCACACTTGAGAATTTTCAGATCAACAATATGAAAAGCAAAAATGCGCATTATGCATTTTTAGACTTTAGACAGATTTTATTTGTCATTTTGTTTACACAAGTGTGAAACAAAAAGAAATTTCGTTTGGAAACAGCTCACTGGACAATTTCATCTTTTAAAAATGCAGCCTTGAAAAATACTAAAAATGACTGTAAATTTACAGTTCTAACTAATCTTTTTTTAATATACATATAAATAATGATAAAATATAATAAATATAATAACATACAATACAATAACCCATTCTACAAAACATTCAGCAGTCTAATGGCAGTGGGGAAGAAACTGTTGTGGAATCTGCTGGACCTGCATCCAATGCTTCGAAGTCTCTTTGTTTTGTTTTTTTTGTTTAACAAACATCAACCTGATATTTCTGACTTCTCAAATCTTTACAATAATCCGTCTGGTCTTCGTACTAGCTAAGAGAAATGCAGTAGTAGTCCGACTAATTTTAATAAGTTATAAGCTTGAACTCAGTAACGGTATAAGCTTGAAGTATATGAACTTGGCAAGACCAATCACTTTGGTTTCCCCCAGACTGAAAATCCAATATGGCTCCCTGTCTCATAATAGGGATAGATGCAGTTTAAAAATACATTTGTGAACTTGTACCATTGCTGAATGCCAACCAAAATACTCAACAGCTTCTGTTCTTCAGAGGAACTGCCACTAGCTGTGTTTCCCATTACGTATGTATACAAAACTATGTTGATATTCTAAAAATATTTTAAAGTTTCGTAACTGCTGTATTTCAATTTAATAGCAAATGCAATAATAATTGCACCTGAATACATTTGGTAAAGTGATAACTATGAAAACAAAATGGCAGATGAGATATATCTATATTTCAGCCATGGCTTTAGAGGGCGCCGTCACTCTCTGAGTATGTCCGGTCTTCTTCCTCATGTTTTTAAAAGGCAGAAAGGTCCAGTTGCCAGTTACATGACTCGAATAAAGTGTTATGCCTGCAGTTTTGCGAAATATAAAATGTTTGATACAAGTGAAAAACCACCTCATCAACTGCTATTTCAAAATTTTGGTGTTTCCATTTACCAAATTTATTTTCCTAATTACACACCAGTAAACACACCTGTTGACTTTTATTACCAATACATGGAGTCTAAAGAGAGACTGGTGTCATATTTATCTGCGTTTCTTTAAACCTGCAGCTTTGTGAGGTAATTCTGTCCTTGCTTCTCGGACAGACTGAGCTATATATGCCTTAGTGTTTGGCCCTCAGTAACTTGTTGTTTTTGGTATTGATGAAGAGCCACATATACGTGCATGCTGTATGTGTGTGCCTTTTACAGTATTTCCTGTTTGGTCTCAACTCTTTAAAGTCACTAAATAAAACCCAATGCGTTCCAGGTTTTTTTGTTTTTTTTTGCATCAAGTCTGCTCTTAATTTCCACGTTTTATATGGAGGTGGTGGTGGTGGAGTACAAATACCACGTATCCGCTCTCGCCTCATTTTAACTTCTTATCCCCTCTTGGGTTTTTTCTACCTCCTTCTGGTTCCTTTGACGTTTCCTTTGTCGTTTTCTTGATTTTCCTTCCTTCTTCTTGTTTCTGTTTTCCCCTTATCTTGGTACCGCCCTCTCAGCCCACTTTACCTCCACCAACCTCTGCCGTTCCCATGGCGACCCTCCCTTCTCCTTCAGCTCTTTCGACATCAGTTGGGCCCTCCCTCCCCTCCCCTGTGCCGATCCCTGTTGGGGTGGTGCCTACCCTCGTTCCCTCTCCTCTACCTCCTGTGCCCTCACCTGTTCCTCAGCCTTTGGCCACCGTGGTGCCAGTCATCAGTGTAATCACCACTCCTCCTGACACTCCCATGGAAGTCCTTCCAAAGGTACTGGTTCTACTCAAACCCATCAATTGGAGGTTGCGGTGATGTTCAGGTTCTAGTGAAAATAACCTCAGTATCAGATCCACTCATAGTCAGTTTCTCTGTACCCCAGTTACTTTATATAAAATACTCCTTTATCTTTACTTTCTTCAATCTAAAACTCCAACTTGTTTATTTATTTTACATTTTCTTTGATTTCTGGTCAGACTACTTCCATTCATGAAGGGTTTTAAGGTTATGTTGGGAAGGTTCTCAGTCATCCAGGTCATAGTCATTCCAAAAAAAAAATAAAAAACACACTTAGATGGGTATGGGGTATTGCAGTCTAACAAAAGAAGCCAAACGACCCCGATTCAAATTGGGCGGACTGCTTCGCCTGTTCCAATTTGCATGTTTTCAACACAAAAACATGGCTTTGTTGGGCTATAGTATAAAACCTCTAACTCAACGCTGTCCCTGACATTTTGAATTAGTTTAGTTGTATCATTCAGAACCTCATCCAACAGCTGAACAAAACCCCTCAGTATGATGGTACTGCCACCACGCTTAATTGTTTGATCCGTGTTCTCACAGTCTGAAGACATCCCATTATCTTCTCTATCCATACTTCTTATAGTTTAGGACAATATCGACTGATTATGAAGTTCTTTGGAAGTTATTGCCGTTGTCCGTGTGGAAAGCTGCTTAAATTAGCTTAAAGGTTTATATTGGACCAGGGTCTTCTTGGTAGAACGTAGGGCTGGGCAATAAAACAAAATAACTTTTTCTCGATTGAAGTATAAGACTACTGCATTAGAACAGGTCCACCCCTTTGTATGTGGAGTCGTTGAGGTTGTAGTTGGCCTGCAAAGCCCGATACTGGCCCATGCCTCTGTAAAGGGGAGTCGTTAGGGTTTTTGTTGGCCTGGCTGACCAGGCGAGATGTTTTGTCCCCTGCATGGCGATGAGGATTGAGATGATAGCGGGAAGGAATCAATTCTACTCTTGAGAGCTGAAACCTGAGTCCACCCCCTCTGTTTAAGGTTTGTTTTTAACTCTTAACATAAATGGCTTCCCTCGCATCCCTTTCAAAACATCAGTCTTCTTTGTCCAAAATGTGAACATTCTGGTACTCAAACGAGAATCCTGAGAGAGTCTGAGAATTTCCTTTTTGTTCCTAGTTTATTTACCGACTTCGCTGACTTTGTTTTTTATATGCATGTTCCTTCAGTACATCGCTAATATTTAACAGAAAAAGACAAATATCTAAATAAAACAATTTGATTTGATTTCATATCTTACTTAATGAGCTACCGAACGTTTAAACTTGACAAGTATAGTGATTGGTTTTATATCAATATATATATATCAATATCACCTTTAATGAAAAACAATATCGTGATATGTAAAAAATCCTATATCGTCCTACTAGAACGTCACCACCACTGGTTTTCTAACGTTTCCATTTCATTGAAGGTTTAGACCTTGAACAGTCCTAAGTGGGACCATTTGTGATCTGTGATCTTAAACACACAAGTCTGGTAACATAACATAATAATTCCAGTTCTAAATGAACTTGACTCAAACATTCTTTATTCATCCAAGGGAAATTAAAAGTTGTTGGAACTCGTACAGAGTTTTAAAAAGAGCTGTTGGCTTTAATTAAGAAGGATCTGCTGTAGCAGCCTGTATTATAGTGTATCTGAAAAAGCTTCTGACTGGAGACACCCTGTTGTTATATGAAGGTCTGATAAAGAGGATGGGTTGTTGCAATGTCTTTATTTTATGAACAGTCCCTGTCTCTGAGTGTGACACCCCAACAGATGTTAAGCTACAGAAGTTGATAAACTGTTGATGAAAATGAAATACTTTTGGTTTAGATGCTACATTTGACTTTGTTGATATAAATTTCAATATATCTATAAAGCAAATTTAAGGCTACAAGCTTGAAAAAACTATGATAAAGTTAGCAAACTATGAGTCAAAGTTGAAGCTAAAAAAATAAAACTAAGAAAAAGAAAACAAATGACTGTGACTGGCTGGATGTGCTCTCTTCATCCGCTGACATGCGAGCTGGCTCGGAGCTCGT